CAGGAATCAACAGTGACTCAAAGTCATGGAAAAGACATTGACCAGCTCAAAATACAAAAGAAGAAAAAAAATTGGGAGAGAGCAAATAAAACCCCCAATAAAACCCAATAATTATAATATTGGAGTCACCAAAATATGGCATATTTTACAAAAAGTAAAACAAAACTTGGCCACATTGAGAGAAATACAATCATGATGATCAGATAATAGCATCTGTAAATAAAATGGATCTGGGTGATCTGGAAATTTGACTAGATGGGGCATTATTAGCTGCAGCCGGGTGCTGGAATAGCAATGTGCTAATAAAAATACCCCTCCCTCCAGTTCATTTGTTGAATTTGTTTGCTTTCCTGGAGGCACAGAGTCACAAATCTTTCTTGGAAGAGAAGACTAATAATGGCTATTCATCTGGTGCTGTTAATACAAGATGCTCTGGGGCCTCCTCAAAACATCTTGTCTTTTGCTGTAGGATAAGACAGGCTTTTCATTTTCAGTATTATTGTAGAATATTGCATTAGGTAGAGTTATAGTCCAAAAACTAGAAAGAGCACCCTTGAAACCAGATAGTGCTATTTGGATATATTATATTACTCCAAGTATGACTGAAAGCAACATTATAAGGCAGGAAAAGAAAAATCTCTGTTTAATAACTCAAGAACAATATAGAAAGAGCATCCCCTAGTGGACACGTAATATAAAGCACCCTGAAGCATTGTTGAAGGTCAGAGTGATAAAGTCTCCAAGCTGAACTCAACTCCTGAAAATTTCATGGGCGTGTTCAGATAGTTTTCTTGGCAGCAATATAGAAGAGGTTTGCCATCCTTTTTTTTTTTTCAGAATGAGTTTTAATTTCCCAATCTAGCCCTTGGCCCTGGTATTTCCACATGGTCTCCCATCCAAGTACCAACCATATCTGAACTTGTTTAGTGCTCACACACACACACACACACACACACACAGGCACACAATTTTTATTAAGTTTTCAACAGATGAACTTGCTTAACTTCATCTGTAATCTTTTAAGAAGCAATCAACCAAAATTCATTTATTTGACATTAACTAGGACAGTACCTGATGATTTAATAAATGGCCTTTGTGCAAAGATCAGACAGTCATCCTTGGATTCCTATTTAAGTCTTTGTTAAATGATAACAAAGACATGCTTGTTGACATAAACCCCCTGTCCTGTAAAATACTCCATGACAACATACCACTGACTAATTACTTCTACTTATTAACTTGTTTATAATTGTGCTATATCAACAGACAAGAGAAAAAGTAGAAATTTTAATTTGTTTCTCCTGCGTTTGTTGCTGTTCCCAGGTTATGGTAAAAATAAGTAATTAAACCTATGACTATATTATAATGTAATGTAGCCAAAAAAATTACACTGCCTGTCTACATCTCATTATGCAAACATGGATTCTTAGAAGAAAGACAGTTTATTAGAGCTTGGCAGCCTGGTGCTCTCTAGATATTTTGGATTATAAATTCCATAAACTCCAGCCAACATCACCAAGGATGATGGGCTATTATGGCAGAAGTACTTTCTGAAAGATATGATCAGTCCCACTATAGGAGCTACAGTACATATAGGAGTACAGTGCAGTACATATGGGAGCATATAGATCAGAATCCTGTTTGCAGCTGGAGAATAAAAAGGCAAGGGGATCCTTCCTATTTATATGGAAGCCAGTCCCACCCTGCACAATGAGATTTATTTCTAAGTAATCACCAATAAAACATGCTCCTAATTATTCCGTCATTCCTGTATTTCTGGAAAATGTTGAGTGCATACCAACCTGGTGCCAAGACTTAGAAACGTCCACCATCTATTTAGTTTTCCCTGTTTAAAATGACAGGTCCTTCTTTCTGGTAGCTATGGCACTCTCATTGGGCAAATGTCCTATTGTCCAGAAGGACAGAACAACCATCTCCTGCTCCTTCTCTATGCCAAATCAGCTAGGCAAGTCTTTCAGGGCTCTCCTTTCAGAAAGGAAAGAGCTGGTCCCCTCCAGATCAGTGTTTCTCAACCTTGGCAACTTTAAGATGTGTGGACTTCAACCCCCCAAATTTCCCTGGCTGGCGGGGGGAATTCGGGGGATTAGGATCCAACCTCCTAAAATTTCCAACGTTGGGGCACACTGGCCCCAA